CAAAGCCTTGATTATTACAGCAACACCTACAGGGACAGACAGACGGTGCTGTTTCAGCCAGACGGTCCACAGGCCTGCTCCTCTGACTGATCCAAGACACATGGGGGGAACCAGCTGAACTGGGGGGCTGTCCCATCGTCGTGGTAGCATGTGGCTTTGCCACGGCACATGGGGGGAGGAAGGAAGGAAGACTCAGGCCATTGCTTTGGAGGGACAGAGTGGTCCCATGGCAGGCAGAACTGATTAATCTGTGAAAAGTCCCCCCAGAAGAGCAGCTGGGTCCAGCAAAGGATCAAAAAAGGACTCCGATCAGAGGGAACGATACTAGAATTACACTATTATTAAGTCCCTGCAGACCCTTCAGTTTATGGGGACTTGCACATTTATTTATAGACCTGTTCCAAAGCATTCTAGGTTGTTTCTCAAAGTACAATTATCAGTTCCTCACATGTTCAAGGTCTGTTCCTTAACTACAATGGGACTTATAGCACTTGGCAGTCAACGAGACAGAGAAAAAAGGCAGATCATCTTCATGAGATCATCCCTCACAGCAACGGGAGCAGATTTAGCCCAAAAACCAAAACTGCACATCATTTTAGAGGATTTATTTTTTTTATTATTATTACTGACCACTATAAGCAATGAAATAATGAATCTGCCCCACTCTTAATGGTCAGCAGGTTCAAAAGGTTGAAAAGCTTTGTTTTGTTTGGCATTTTGAGGGGTTGTCATACATACTTGGTACGATTAATTCGTCCAATTATCAAAATATCATCAGACCAGCAAAACACCAAAAAAAGCCATAACAGCTCTTTGTTTCTCGTGTGATAAAAACAAAGCTCAACGGGACTCAACTGTCTAGCAACAGGGCCTCTGCGCCCCCCACCCACAGAACGTAACCATGGCACCAAGGTATCTCATGTCACGTTGCAGCATCATACCATGGCCCAAAGCTGAGAATGATTCGTCTCGGTATTTACAAGACCTGACAACCCCAAGCGGTCATGCTCATTTGCTTGTGACACCTCTGCAGCCTCAAAGTTCACCCGTCGATGAGAGCGATTCCCTCCTTTTGGTCTTTAATTGTGCTCGGCTTAATGATGTGTTTTGGTCCCAGACTAAAAGGTCTAATTCATGTCATGAAAGAAGACGACTGTCTGAAGGAATACAAGCTCCATTAGATCGCGGAACAGAACAAGCCATTAGATGTTTGTTTCAATGACTTTCGGTACTTTTCAAATATTTCGGCCGATGAAATAACAGCACCCTAATGACATGAAAATGGCTTCCTGTCTGAAGACAGTGATGCCACAACTATTGTCCTCTGGTGCCTTTTGCTAGCCTGTGTGACTTGAGCAAAACAAAAGGTTTATGTTTAAACCCAGACTGGGGTGTGATTCTACCCAGCAGCAATCGAATAGAAAGATATATTACTGTCAAGATATTATTCTGAGACAGCCCAACATCCTTGATTGGCCTAAAAAGGCAGTGACATAACAGTGTGTGTGTGTGTGTGTGTGTGTGTGTGTGTCTGGGAAGCCAAGAACAACTCCTTAAAACCATGACTGCTCACCATATACTGACAACAGAATTTCTTCACTTTCTATCAGAATCCCTCCGACTGCCAGTAAAAGTATCTTTCATTGCAATTGCTTATTAATTAAACCTTTCTGCTTTGATCGAGAACCTGGACTAATAACATGGAGGAAATTACAGAACGCTAAAGATGTTATTTGTGGGCTGTAAATTTCCACTAGTTTAGTTAGCTTACACAAACTAATGTAGGCATTTGACTGCAAGTATTTTTTATTTTATTTTTTTTAATTTGTGGACACAAAAATGGCTACAGGGATGCAGCGTGAGCCCCTGAACATTTAAGAGAAAAACAGCAAAAAATTCAATACTGATTTGTTGCCATACTTTGCATAGCTCATCTAAATGCAGCATCAGAGAACAGTGCCCAACACCTTAAGAGGGAGAAAAAAAATGTACACAACGAATAATGATAGCAAGTCGTTAGTTAATGCATGTAGTTTGAAAATGAAATTCCACAGCCCACCAAGTAAAAGGAAGTAAATAATCGGTCGGCCACAGGAAGAGAACAAGCATTTTGTTGCCCATCAAGTGTTTCTCTAAAAACTGAATTTCTTAATGGACAGACCGTCAGAATAGATTGTTAATCCAGGATGCTTTAAATCTGTTGGTGCTGCTACACTTCTCCTACGTCTTCTATACTTCCAAACCCATAAAAAACCTTTTAGCATCCTGCTCACCTCCCAATTTGCACTTCTGTATGCAAGTCCTACACCTGCAAACTTGACCTCAACCAAGCCTGCAAGCGCAGCATCACCGGTGGCTGGCCTGGCGGCGGAAACAGGCTTACGTTCAAAAGCTTGACCGCTCACAGGGTATAAGGTCATGCAGGTGGGAGGATGAGTAGCTATGTGTCCTTGGAGCCCCTGCACCTTCTCTGGGAAACCTGCTTCCATCTCAGTATTAACTGTGCTTTCCAAATGTTGGCAATGGGATTTATTTGAAACATCCACAGAGGAATCCAGAAAGCAGTCAGTTACGGAAATGCTTCCCCCATCGCATCTGAGGTCATAGATTGAAGCAGCATCTTCTAGTGTCTGTAAACTCAAAAGTCAATGTGCTCTATTAAACACATGACAGCCTACATCAGGGGTGGCCTCTTATCTGCAAAGGGCCGGTGTGTGTGCAGGTCTTTGGGGTAACCTTTAGGTCAGCTGTTCGAACCCAGGTGTGAGAACTCTTCAGCCAATCAGTCCTCTAATTAGTAATCTAATTAGGGAGTTACGGAAAAAACCCCTGTACACACTTTCTGGATAAGAATGCCCACCCCTGGCCTACATGAACAAGAATGAATGTTCAGTAAGGGATAGTGGGGGAGGGGGATGCTTTCATGGACTGTCAAAGTCACAGAAAAAAATGCCAACCCCCCTCTCTTAGCAACAGAGTGGAAGAGCCAGTCGTGCGCAGAAAAACACTTCAGATACAATTTGGGACAAACCATTGGGGGTGGGGGTGTCCCACCACTTTCAGTCAGGGCTAGAGAACAGACAAAAGCTGTAAACGTCCTCCTGGCCACCCACCCTTCTAATGTCCACGTTTTAACTATATTTATGAAGTGAGGGTGATGAAAAACCAGAGCAGGTTAGCGGTGACCAAAATCTAAAGACACACGCAAAGGAGCGTGCCAAGGCCAGCAGGGACGCCCTTTGCCTGCGATGGCCACCTGTTCACGGAGCGCGCCAACGCTCTAACGAGGCCGGGGGGATGCCGGCAGACCGGGCCTCTTCATAGTCCACGCACGTCTCCTGCGACGTGCAAGTGGATTCTCTCTAGGCTTCCAGCGATAGAACACACCTCCTCCTTGTGCAAAACACTGACCAGAAAGCCATTTTTTCTTTCCGAATTGGGGGGTGGGGGGAGTTATCTGGCTGTTTTCAGTGGAGCCTGATCCCACCCACCACAATATCTCTCTCTCTCTCTCACAGGGCAAAGACCAAAGAAAAAAAGACATCTGTTGTGCAAAACCAAAAACGTACACAAGCACATCAGAAGTAAACAGATTAAACATTTCTGAAAGCAAGTATTAATAATAATAATAATAATAATAATAATAATAATAATAATAATAATACCACCAGCATGGACTTCTTCAACTCAGACACTCCACAGCACCTTCAGAGAATCACGCAGGCCTTAGAGCTGATGTCAGGCCTGTATCACACGGGGGTAAAACTGGCAGGAATCCGCCGAGCTTCATTTCGAGTTCACAGGAGTGTTATTCTTGCATTCACCACCATTAATTTTCTATAATGGTCATCAGGAAATAGTGTTCTTGTACCATGTACTGTGTGCTGAGATAAAGTGTGTTTTTCAGCCTGTGCCAGTAAACATGGGAGAGGGGAAAACTGGTGAAAATTAAATACACATACAAATGAAACTTCCAGAATTAAATTGCAATTACCTGCCAACCTTTCTGCTAATGAACTAATGCACTGTGAAATACTTCATTAGCAAATGGTAACACTGTTGAGTTTGATTTTGCTGCCATTTCTCGCGGTACGTTACGAGGTCAGGTCACCTCAGCAATGTTGGCTACGTCAATATAAATGCTCATTTAAGTAGCTACCGGTTGGCTGAAAATTCACAGACGCCACTCTGTGGCCATTTGCAAACCGTCACCAGGCCAGAATACCTTGAACAGACCCAGGAAAGCAGATTAACACAAAGCGTCCCTATAAATCAACGTTCACCCACAGTCAATCGCAAAAGCACAGCAAAAGGTTGCGTCCAATATGCAAAAATCCCAGCAAAGTAATAAAACGCACACAATATTAATATAGCAAAATATACAAATACTAGACCCCTCAAAAATAAACAATTTACCAAACTCTCCAAAGGACCTTAAAATGCCATCCTAAACAGTATGGGATTATATATTTTTTTTTTTATGAATTTTTACAGTACTGTATTTTCCTTGTTTATTCATGATGCAGCAAAGAAATGCTGCAAGATAATGAATTTCAAACAAGGAAATTGTATAAAACATAAGAGTCCAAGAGAGGAAAAAAAAAATCGGCATGTAACTTAAGACCTTATAAAGCAGGGGTGTCAAACTCCAGTCCTGGGGGGCGGAGCCCTGTGTAGCTTAGTTCTTTCCCTGTTCCGCCACAAATGATTCCGCTCAAGATCTGTATACTAAATTAGCACATGGAGTTGAATCAGGTGTTTTAAATGAGGGGAAACCCAATAATGTGCAGGGCTCCGGCCCCCCAGGACTGGACTTTGACACCCCTGTTATAAAGGATACCAGGGCAGGAATATGAATGCAGTTTAAACTAAAGCCTAACTGCAGTCCAGACGTGGCCAGCTGTGCACACGCTCCGTAGTGCCTGAATGCCGACTCGTATGTGATCGTTAGACACCAGTATGGTTCTGCCCCCAGTTTACCGCAAGTAAATCGTCAGTACCTGGGCATCCATCAGCAGGTGTCTCATCAAGGTCATGGACTTCTTTAGGGTCTCCTTCTCGCTGGGCAGGAAGGCGTCGTCCTCGTTGTCCAGGGCCTTGGGCCCGTTCACCATGAAATGGGCAATCTGGTCATTGAGGCTGTTCAGGGACTGCACTGCTGCGGGGACAGGGAAGGGAGGGGGGGCCGTCAGAATGGAACCTCGACACCAAGCATCGCTGCTCCCCCCACGAGCTGTCTATGCTTGGCGCTCACAGTCCCCCCATTCTCTCTCAATCCATAAGATTTTTACCCAGTCTCTGAAATTAATTCTTCTGGAACCCCCCCTACCCTTTCTGCTTGGCCTATTATGCCAAGTTATGGAGTGAGGTGGGGCTCTGACTGATGCTCATTATATTAAAAAACTGCTAACAGTCCACCAGGAAATTCTCAGCCATCATTTACTCACCCATCAGTCCATCTATTTTCCCCAGAGCTATCTATCCATCACGGGGTCAGTCAAGTCAATTCAAGGTAGCACAGGCTATGAGCTACCAATATTTTATATAAGCAAGGCTGGGTATTTTTAATATGGCAATTCAGATTTACCTTAACACCTTGACTGAGAATACAACAGCAGAACCGTTCCCGGGGCAGGAGCCAGGAAGGTACAATACCAGTCAAAATATTGGACTTGCCAAGCCGCCTACAACGGAGAGTGATAGAGTGGTCACATCACATGACCTGGCCACCTGACCTTAAAAACACAGCAGAAATGGTTTTGGAGGAGTTTGACCAGAACGTGAAGGAAAAACAGCCAATGAGTGCTCAGCATATACAGGCAGGGGCGCCGTAAGGGGGAGGAAAGCTAGGACGATTCCAAGGGCCCCTGAGTGACAGGGGCCCTAAAAAATTAGGAAAATAACTGGATTGGTTTGGACTGGGGGGCCTAATATGATATGCTTTCATGGGGCCCAAAATCTCTAGCAACGCCCCTGTATACAGGTATGTGGGACCTCCTTCAGGACAGCTGGAAAAGCATCTCAGGAGACCTCATGAAACTGGCATCGAGGAGAAAGTAAGGTCAGCCAGTCCCCTGCAGCAATTGGGGTTAAAGAGCCTTACTCAAGGGCCCAATGGTGGGATCACTCTGCCAACCCAGGGACTTGAACCAAAAACCTTCCGAATCCCAACCCACAGAACTACCCCTCCCCCAACAATTCATCATTTTCTCGTTTAATATTTCATTAGTCCGTGCATAATTTCATTCTGTTTTATAGTGTTGGTGTTTCAATAATTATTCTGAAATGTAATGAATAGTACGAACAAACCTTTCTATGAGTAGGTGTGTCCAAACGTTTCACTGGTACCGTACATCGCAGTGTTGAATTATTTGGTCAGCATGATTATCCACATATACAGCATAACATCCCCCTGAGCAGCATAACCAGACACAGAGAGCATCTCCAGCAGTTTGAATCTGCAGCCTCTGGATCACAAGCAGAGCTTCAAGCCAGTAAAAGGATTTCCATCATCTCTACTGCAGTTTTATGGAGAAGAACGTGTGACACTGACAGGAAGCCATCACTTCGCCATAACATTCAGCAACGACAGTCACACTTGAAGGTGAGGTGACATCCTTACAAAGACTGTTAATGTGTTTCTTCCAGCAAATGATGAATTTATATTCAGTCTATGAGTTTGTAATATTTTAAATGGTTATAACATTTTATGAACAAACCCCTAAACGGTGACATTTTACTTTTAAAAATCTGAAAGCCCCTCAGTCATTCTTTAGGAAATTCCCCTCAGCATCTGTGGCGTCAGTCTGTCCATTGAATATCACCAGCTTCTTATCCAGTCAGGATTGCAGGTAACACTGAGCGTATACATGGGATCACAAACGTGTTATGGTTCCGGACGGATAGATCGGATAGATTGGAGTACCAATGGGACAAACTCTAATCATGACGACCTTAACCCCTACCCAGCCCTAACCTTAATCATAAGGAACCAAACAAAATACAAGACTTTAGGCATTTCTTGTTTTTTGATTGCAGTCAGATTTTTATTTTAAAAATGGGTTATTCAAGTGAGGACCTGAAAAACGGTCCCCAGGAACAAGAAAGTGTCAGGTTTTACCACACCTTGGGTACATTACGGTCCCCAAATGTGATCTATGCAAACACACACACACACACACACACACACACACACACACACACACACACACACACACACACACACAGAATCTTAGAGCAGGGTTCCCCAGTACCTGGCAGCTGGGGGACAGTTTGCAAATTTCCAAACACACGAGCTGAATAAGGTGTGTTTCATTAGGAAAATCGGCAAACTGTGTTACAGACTGCCCCCCCCCCCCAGGACCAGAATGTGGAGACCCTTGCTTAGAGTCATCAGTTCTCCTGAACAGTTTACCTTTAGATTTCGATCCCATACCAATGGAGTTACAGGGCAGCAGCACGTCAGCATGTTATGAGTCACTGCACAGCCCAGGGAGGGGATGCACATTACTGAGGATTTACAGCAAGTCAGGGTATGCAGTGCGAATACAATTAGCCAGCGGGTTCCTTAGGATTATGTCAGGTTATGCAGTGCGAATACAATTAGCCAGCGGGTTCCTTCCGGAGTATGTTAAATGCAAAAATCTGAGAGGGACCCCTAATCACAGAAAGCACATAGAACGAGGGGGGGGCACCTTGGGTGGGATTGCAGTCCATTGCATGACACCCAAACTCAAGCCAGACTGAGCCAGGGCAGGAATTCACCCCCCAGGAGTGAGGATACCCCACTGCCCTCCCAGCCAACAATATACATCTCACAATTTCTCTTTCATATTCTATCACATGAGATATATGAAGAATTGAGTGGGTCTTCATTGTCATGCCATCTATATATAATCACAGCAAACGGTGCCATGAAATAACGTTGCCCAGCACTGCGGTGCAGTATACATATATAAATACAGTGCAGAGACTGTAAGTAAGACAAATGTAACACGGGAGGGGGGAAAGCAGAATAATGGCTTAGAAAAATACATAATGTACATACAGTGACAGAGGAGCTGGGGGTACCCACACAAATCAGATATAGTGGCTACTGTCGAAACAGTAAATATGATAGATATGACAGATGTAGGGAAAGGTGCAGTGTTCACTGGTTAAGGTGGTTATATGGCACAGATGTAGGGAAAGGTGCAGTGTTCACTGGTTAAGGTGGTTATATGGCACAGATGTAGGGAAAGGTGCAGTGTTCACTGGTTAAGGTGGTTATATGGCACAGATGTAGGGAAAGGTGCAGTGTTGGGCAGTGTTCACTGGATAAGGTGGCTAATGCTGGTGGGAAGGCAGGTTCATAAACAGGGCTGGTAAAAAGTGCAGCGTTCCATCAGCTTTGGGGAGCACATGTTCTGAGAACACTGTCAGTTTACAGAGCTGATGTAGACTGACAAGATGACACCAGAGGCTTAATTTAAGGGTTTCACTACTGAAGACCCCCGCAGTCTCATATTCCGGCAAGTCCTTTGATCAGACTCTGTGGGGGGGGGGGGGGGGCATCATTTCCTGACAAGATCAATCACACACTTGGGTGGGGACATTATCTGCATACCTGTGCTGCCAGCCACAGGTCACAAATCAGGGGCGCCAATATAACATTCAAATCTGGTGGCCTTTATTCTCATAAGGGTCATATATTTGTACTAATCCGAAAAGAAGAATGGGGATGTGTGGTAACAAAGGGTTTTGTGAAGGCAGCCCTCATGCCGACTCTCAAAGGGCACAGGGCATGCTGCTATTCACTCAGCCTCCTCCTCTAATTGCCCAGTAGATGTCACGCGCTGTGAGTGAGTCGTGAGCTAAATGGAAGCCATTCCTGGAAACCAGCGGGACACCGGATCCAGCCCCTGCAATCTCACAGCAGAAACGCTCAAGGTTGCTGGGCCAGCATTCGATGGCCTCTTCGGGATTCGCCGCCGAGCACGACGGAGGGCCACTCGGCCCGCATCCACGCCGTTCCGCTAAAAGGTGCCACTTACCGCGGTATAAAGACGTACATTTAGCCGCTCGGTGTGAAGTCTGGTCAAACACGCTGAGCTCTCACAATCCTGCCAACGTTCCTGACTTATGGATTCTATTTCAAACACAATTCTCCTCCCTCGAATGTGCCTGTTAGACAAGGATAGAGAACGGTCATTGGTTTAAAAAATAAAAATTAAAAATTAAACAAAACAAAAAAAACACATGGTGGCTCAGTAGGTGGCGCTGTGGGCACACACCTTCGGAGCTGGGGGTTTGATTTTCACTACCACTCTCGAGATACAAAGCTAGGTAGACTGGTGCTTCTAAATTGGCCAAAGTGTGCGAGAGTGTTAATACTGTGATCCACAGCAGTTGGAAGATGAACAGTTGTACAGAAGTGAAGAAGATTCCCACCCATCTACATCGCCTTTTAAAAACAAGCTTTTCTGTCTTCAAACAGCACCAGGACAGCGTATCAGATGAAAGCATGGAGCCCGACAAGACGGACTTTCAGCTCGAGTTTAAAGGGAATGAGACTGACAGTTTTCCCTCCATCACACACTGACCATCTGTAATGCTCACACACTGAGCAGGTGACCCAGAGCACAACTAAACACCATCAGCCAAGTCCATCGGTGACACTGGAGGCATCAGGGTAGATTCACCGTCACCAAGATGGGCCTGTCATTTAAATATCTCCTGTTCCCGGTTTTTAAACTATTTTGCACTTCCAGATTAGATGCAACACTGGATTTCATTGTCTTGTACTTTGTGCAGTGCTGGATCTAATCTAATAAAGGAGCATGGAACACCTCAAAAACAACATCGTGCATTTCAGTAGGACCAATATTACAGGATTCATTTTTCTTCACAATTCTGATGTCGTACCCTTGAACAAAGCGTCAGGCTGTAGAAATGGGTGATCACTCTGGCAGAGTAACTCAATGCATCATTTGGCCTCAGCAGGTCAATCAGTAATGATCGTGTCACACTGGCAATTCTGTTACTGGTCGGGCTTTCAGCTTTTAAGCTTAAACACAAGGACAACCTACAAAAATAAGGACTACTCTGATCAACATACACAATGAGCAGGTCATTCAGATACCCCACTATGTTTTAAATTATTAAAATCAATAAACGCCC